AAACATTGAATAAAATTATTTATAAAAAAATTAATTAAATAAGAATATAAGAGTTAATTAAATATAAAGCCATGCTTCTGTACAGTTGACAAACAGCTTTATTCCCAAATTTTGAGGAATAGTTAAAGGCTCTGTTTGTTCTAATATTTTTATTTATTCTATTTCTATCTTATGTATATATTTTTTTCCCTATTTTGAAAATTCAATTCAATTCAATTCAATTTTTTAAACCTCCTATGTTTGTTAATTTAACAAAACACCTTAAAAAAATATTTATAATTTGACAAAAACACCCTCATCTACCCATATATTCCCAACAGCCAGTGGCTGGCTGCTGGCATTTAATGGGTGGGTGGAGGTGTTTTGTTAATTTTAAAACTTTGATTATAGGGGGTGTTTAACTAAATTAACAAATGTAGAAGATTAAAAAATAATCTTACCAAATACATTTTCAAATTCAAATCTTATCCTCGTATTAATAACACAACTCAACTTTTTCGAAAATACTACTCAAAATAATAAAACAAACGCACCAAATTGAATTTTAATTAATTTCCTCTTCTGAAAACTAGAGAGAATTTAGTTGACTATTTATGCACAACACAAGAAGCTTCCTCCCACACTTTTGATCTCCTAATTTTAAGCTACTTAAACTAATTAACCCAAATTGTGTGCACGCACTGTAGGCAAAATCTGAGAATGCCAATACGCATAATTCTTGCGATGAAGTTTCAATAGAAATGAGAGCTTAATTAAAGAATAATAACAATAAGCTAAGCTTCCTCACACATTTGTACGGTCCAATTTTCACTCCTAATAATAATACCCAGTAAAGATGTTTCAATTCTAATAACTATTACCCAATTAAAGTACTGCCTGTTGCCATTAACCGTTTGTGACTTTTAGTCAGTGCAACTCATCCTTGCATTTGCTATACATGGTAGATGATTGAAAGATTAATTAATATTTACAAGTATTTAAACAATATGTGTTGACCAGTATAACATGTTAATGCCTGTGTATACCGTTAGAATGAGCTATTGAGCTGCTCACCAGATTAAGTTTGTTCATGTAATCAAACATGCTTACTGCTTCTTCAATCCTATTCGATTTAAAAAGCCCATCGAGAAGTACATTATATGTTTTTACATCCAAACTGCCCTTCAATTTTCCCATCTTAGTATGCAATGGAATAGCTTTATCAATCTGCTCGGTGGAGCAACAACAGCAAGAATCAAGCAATAATTTTTTTTCTCAAATATCACATTCAACAATTCCTCTACTTCCTCCCATCTTCCTTTAAATTAAATATTTACCGTCAACACAAATTTACAGTCACAAGTTTTCTTCAAACACAAAAACTCAAATCATCAACCAATTCAAACCCACAATACAAACCATCTAAAACAATAAATAACTAGTTTAGACCTTGCAAAAGGGTGGAATGTTATGACAAGGTTTTGATAGCACTCACATGGATCCATCACAAATTAATTAATTTCACTGCATAAATTAGAATGATTCTCAAACAAAAGCAGAAAGTTAGCTAAACGACGTCTCACCCGAGTCACAAACTCACAATGGTAGTGTCAGTTCTAGGTAGGAACCGGAATCAGGACCTTGGGTACCCACTGGTTCCGGTTCTACCCTATTTTCATGCTCACTCCTATCGAAAAGTTTCAAAACGACAATTTCCCACCCACCCACTGTTAGCTTTAGCTGAATAATATAGAATGATAAATTCAAAAAGCAGTCAAATGGTACTTATGTCATCTTGCCCCTATCCCTATTCCCTATATATAAACTTAGGAGAAAGAAAACCCTAAATCAAACCTTTTTACCTTTCTTCCCCACCCCTCAAAACCAAAATCCTCCACCCCTTGGCTGGATGCGATTCTGTTGGAATCGCACTTGGCTAGTGCAATCCGCCCTGAACCGCACCTGGCCGAATCGCACTAAATCCCCAACCTTAATCGCATCAAATCTGCTCCAGATCTGGTGGGATTGGCTAGATACGATTTGATCAGAATCACACTAAACCCTCCACCTTTAATTGCACCAGATCTACCTCATATCTGGTGTTATTGGCTTTTTTGATTGACTTTGAGACTCCTTCTTTAAGACATTATTTTAAAACCTGACCCATTAGGAAACTCAGTTCGTTGCTCGGGTCCCGGGTTGACTGGACCGACCAGTGAGATCATCATGCTGACGTCAGCAATACAAAAAGAATAATGCAAAACCTAAAACTTTTAAAAATTCAACAACACCATTCAATAACAATCCCAACATGATGTTGTGTTCTTCTGATTACAAATTAAATTACAAAATTCAAAAAGATAGTCACATATTAATTAATAACAAAATCATTTGGTGCAAGTGTTTTTTCTTTGTTCAGTCTCCATGTTGATTGAGCTTCACACGCTATTACCAAACTATTATTGCTATACTATTTCAAATACCATCAGAATAGAACACTGCATGAAAACCAAGAAAAATTCCATTGTTAGAGAGGAATGATGCCTCTGAAACTAAATGCAGGATTGGTTGTAAATTAGAACTCATAAAAATCCAACTACAAAATCACTCCAAACAATTTTTAAATATATTAAATATTTGATATAGTTAATTAAATTATTTAACTTAAAAAAAGAAAGAAAGAAAGAAACCGGTCCAAACTCTTTGTTAAAATATTTGTTTTTCATGTTTTGGTTGAGTTTAGAGTTTAGACATGGATCTGAAATAAACGTGAGTTTTGATTTTGTTTTAGATGTTTAATTGTGAACCTTGGTTTTGTGGCTTTCAGAGGGGATGTTGAACAATTTTATGGTTTTATAAGCAATAGATGCTTGGTTTATATATTTAAAGAATGACTCAATGCTTCTGTATAAAAAGACAAACTTGTAACCGATTTCAAAGTCTTCATTTCAATAATCAAAAGTAGAATGTGTCATTTCATGAAAACTTTTATACAACAACATGGANAAATGAGTTCTCCCAAAGAGTATTATTGTGTAGGTTTATAGCTCCATCCTAACTTTACATATCAATGAAAAACATGAGATATTATGATTTATGAATATAAATCCAATGGGTTAAAAAAAATGGTAATATTCTAATATTGTTGTAGTAAATCACTTGGAATCTTAGGGTGCATTTGATTTAGATAATATTGTATTATATGGAATGTTATATTAATGGAAAGATAGATTACCTTGAAGATTATTGAGAATGTTTAGGAAAATATGTTTGGTTGGATAGAATAAATTGGTTGGTATGTTATATTGATATGTTTGGCTGGGAGGAATAAATTGGTGGATATGTTATATTGATATTGATACTGAGAATTTTAATTTTTAACAAAAACACCCCCACCCACCCACCCAAGCCACTACCGCCCGCCTGAACCACCGCTAGGCGTCAATCGGGAAGTGCAACAAAGATGTTTTTTGATGGGTTTTGAAGAGGAGGTGAAAGGGAGCCGATCGGTGCAAGTGGGGATGATTTCCGGTAGAAAAGGCGACTGGAAAAGCATCAAGAAAAAGGGAAATTATGGAAAAACAGTAGGCTTCACCGGTAATTGGGGGCAGCTCCGGTGATGGGGTTTGGTGGGATTTGAAGAGGGAAACGAGAGGAGTAAGATGTTGGGGTTGTCGATGATGCCGGAATCAGCCCAAATCGGGCTTAATACTGACGACTGCCCGACCTAAAAAATCTCGGATCCACAACCATATTATCGTTTACGGCCATCGATATGGTCGGAAAAGGCCATGTCGGCATATGACCAGCCAAATGCGGCTAGTCGTGCACCATTCCGGCGACGTTGGCCAACGGTGGCAACCACTAGTGGGGGTGGTGGCCGGCTGTAGCAATCCTCTTGGTGGCTTATAAATTGTTTTAGAAATATGGGCATTACTGTCCATAACTTTAATTATTTAGGGGTAAAAAATTGTAATGGTAGAGTTTATGTAAATTAATTTCAAAATAAGGGCATTATTGGCAAAAAAAAAAATTAATAGTAAAGAGTAAAACTATAACAAAATTAAGATTACCAAATAATCTTATAATATTTAAGAAAATTAAGATAATCAGATTAATTCATATATTACCAACAGTAACTATTATTGGTATTGAAAGATTACTAGAATTTTATATTACATGATAATTAAACGTCATAATAAAGTAATATGAGATGACATTATCTCAATAATTCTATCAAACAGATCCTTAAAGTTAAAAGAGATGGATGGATAATAAAATAAGAGGGTTCATAGTCATCTTCCTCTTCCGTCCAATCGTAACACTAATTAGACAAATGGGCATCCACATGCGCATCCAATTTAATAAATAAGAATAAAGCCACCTTTCTCGGAGCAATCTCCTCCATTGCCAAACAAAGAAACAAATGATAGAGGTATTGGAATATTAATATTATATTTATAGAAGAAACGCCTGTGGTCAAGTCTCTAAATTGTTCCAATTCCAAACCCACGCTCCTTAAACATCTTCATGTGCCCACCACTATTACCTTCGAAACATCATCAACGTCTTGGATATCACATTATTTATTCTATATATATGTTATAATATGATTAAGATAAATAATAAGGTTAAATGACTTTAATGTTTAAATAATAATTCAATTCATTTATAGTTGAATTGTATCATCTTTTCTTACCTAGTGTGATTTGAATTAATGAATAAAAATTCTTTTTTAATAATTTTTACTTTTGCTAGATGTCAATGTTACATAAACACAATTGACTTTTATGTACATGAATGTGCATTCGACACGTAATAGTTTACAGGTTAAAGGCATGATGTCAGTTCCAACTTCCAAGTGATTTCGGAGTATGGCCACATATAAAATTGACCCTTCAATCACGTTCATAATTACCCCTAAAACATGTCACATCGCAATAATTAATTATGACATAAACATGACGTCATAAAACAAATCTCCCACCCAAATTAATTATCTCTCTTACGCCAACTCGTAATTTCACCAAACCCCTCCAGCAATTGAGAAGAAAAATTGAAATTCCAGAATAAGAATGTAATACATTTTTTAAGAATCAAACTCACCACATCTGGATTCTTTCTCAAATTCAAACAACATTATTAAATTATTAATAACAATATTCTAATTTTCATCATCATCTCTAGAAATCCTTCAGCACCTTCCTCACTTGTTCCAGCGTAACGAACAGGACGATCGTAAACGGCCCTTGTCTCGAAATCGTCGGAATAAACCCTTTATAAAGAGCCATTGGCCCCTCCGCCTTCACCGTCTTCACCGCACAATCGATCGCCCCCTTGTATGGCGGCGCCTTCCCTGGCTCCACCTTCATGTTCATCACCCTTGTCTTTATCACGTCCACGGGGTTCGACGTAACCGCCGCCACGAACCCCGCTGCGAAACTCGCTGTCACGTGCGTACCCAGTCCGTCACGCATCACGCCCTTCGCCAAGATCGTTTCTTTGATCTGATCGTACGACGCCAACTGCGACGCCGTCACTAACATGGCGCGGTTCACCGTAAGGGATGAGCCGCGCCACAGGCTAGTCACGCCCTCTTGTTTCGCCATTCTCGTGATGGCGTCTACCACGCTCTTGTAGTTCCGACGCTGAGCCGGAGGGAGTCTTCCGTCGGCTTGCATACGAACCATTGCCACGTCAGCAGGGTTCCCAACCGCTGCTCCGATCCCTCCGGCAATCAGACCAGCAACGATTTTACTCGTGAGAGGCATGGTTCGGGTTTCCGGGTCGGTCCATTTGTTTTTTAGAATATCGTAAAGGCCCATTCGGGTGGTGGAGTATAGAGTCTGACGAAGAACGGTGGCGGAGACGCCGGAGAAAAGAGCTGCAACTCCTTCTTGCTTAACGAGACGGACGCCGACTGTGACGAGACCCACACGTGGTGGTGGTGGTTGGACGTGGACGGCGGTGGTGGTGGTGGGGAAGGCGAGAGCCGGACGGAGAGATTGAACCGGCTGTGTGGGCGCGTGGGCTTCACCCTGAAGCTGCATGCGGACTTTGAGGAGATCAAGTGGATGAGTCGAACATCCGGCAACAATGGAAGCGATGCCGCCTTCAACAAATCCCTTAACACCCATTTTCTTGTCACGGAATTAAAACCAAAGAAAGGAAAGAGTTGGGTGATTAATTAGAGTGAATAAAACGACTTGTTTTAACGAGATGAATTACCAGTTGGAATTAGAGTTCATCTCACTGGAGACCAGGAGATGGGAGTGGAGGCCAAAAGCGCTAGAAGAAGAATGAGGAACGACGGGCCTATGAGACATATGCTGCTTAAATGAACAAAGAAAAGAAAAAAGGAAAAGTGGAAGAAAATATGAGTTGTCAAGGAAGAAGATGGAAAGACGTTATATAGTAGGAAGACTAGAAAATGAGGTTTTAATTTTCTTACGCGTTTGTGATTGTGGCGTCTAAAACGTAACTCCCCTTCTCTTTTTGTCGGCTTTATTTAGCAGGTTGGAACCGGTTTGATCACGTGCGTTCAGATGTAGGAGATTTTTCTTCAGTTGGCTGACTTTTTGACTTGGTTTTTCTTCCGGCTTAAAAGGAATAAGTTGAAAAGATTATTTGATTTTGTGGTAAATAGAGTAAATACAGGTCATCGTCTTATTCTTATCTACAGATTTCCAAGTATGATGATCTGATTATGAATGTGGAAAATTGGATGATTCGTTGTCATAAATATAATATTTTGTTTCAAAATAGCCTACTCATCAATTAATACAATATTGACGTCAAATATATGCAACGACACAATATTTACATTTATCAAAATGGAATCAAGAATTTTAAGAAATTTACATGAAATTTTTATGACTATATTAGATTATTTTTATTTTATTAGTTGTTAAGAGTCACTTCATATTTATCATTTGAAATACCACATCAAATTTCTATGTTACTATTTAATATTAATAGATTACAAGTTTTATTTTATATGCATAAGTTGTGAGTATTGTTACAGTGTATTTCGTCACCAATTTTAGGGGAATTTTTAATGTCTGTCCATCTAACCTTTAACAAATTAATTATTTCATATATATATAATAACAATATAAGTCCGTTATATAATATAATGTTTATAACACGTGGAAAACTATAGTTGTAATCTAATATTGAATTCAATCTCAAGGATTCAAATTAAAATTAAGATAAAAATAAAAAGTCTAGGAAAACAAATATTATATTTGCCTTCAAATACTCTTTTAAGGGTCGCTGCAAACATCAGCGTCGTGTTTATAACGTAGCCGCAATCCTAACTCAAGAGCCAAGTAAATTAAATAAATAAAAAAAAAAAAACTTAGCTTATAACTCCTAGTCAAACCTTTCTAAAAACACTAGGAAAAATAATAATAACATAGCCAATGGTGATGTACAAAAGAGGTGCAGGTGATACCGTGAGGGTGAGAACATGTGATCACAAACTAGTATTATTGAATAACATAAAATTGTCAGATGCAAATATGCAATGCAAAAGGCCAAAGCCGTGTTCATTGCAAAATTGCCAATCATCCCAATGGCAGGATTCTCTTCAACCAACTTTTATTTGAACAAATACAATAATAAAAATATAAATAAGTAATAATAATAAAGAAATTAAAGTAAATGTTGAATAAATTTAAAACAATATTTAAAGATGTCAAAGGGGTGGTGCCGAGTGAGTTGGTTAAAGAAAGGTGACATTTAAGTTTAAAATTGTAATAATAATGAAAGGCGTCCATTTGTTGAGGTCAATTGGCCAAAATGCTATTATTGACTGACTGGGATGCCATTCTTTCTTCCAATTTGAAACTTCAAGTTGGTTCTTTGGTTTTTTTGCCGTATAAATGAGTTCAGGTGTCTGGGTTTCCTCCACTCACTGACTCAGTCGCGGATTGACCGAGTTAAAGTCAGCGGAGGTTCTATCGAGGTAGGCTGGAAATTCCCAACACCTCCACAAGTTGCATTATATATTTTAATTGTAGTAAAAACAGTGGGATCTCACTTATTTATATGCCAATCACGTTCAAAATATAATAGAAATTTTTGGTTTAAACGAAACATTATACCATGTTTTTGTTACGTTACATAAATATTTGTTCGAAATCTTTCTTTATGATTATTATAATAATAAAATAATTATATTGATTTATTATTCTGTTAAACAAATTTTTATTTTTATTTGAGAAGTTTATGGTACAAGAGCGGTATGTTATCATGGTACCCTAAGACAATGCATAGATTCCAAATAATAATAATATATAATAACATTATTTACAGTATTATATTTATATGTTTGTTTTTTTAATCAAAGGAAAACAATAATATTGTTGTTTTTTTTTCTGGTAATCATGAATTTTTTTTTTTTTTTTTTATTCGGTTGGGTGGGTTTAATAAAGCCCGAGTCGTATGAGTGTTCCCTTAAAGTTTGGTAGAGTTGGAAAAGTAAACGGAAGAATTTTGTTTACAACACATTAGAGAGCTGCCATTTTCTTTATAAAATACCAATCTTCATTTTTTTAGGATACTATTAAGCTAAAATTATTTCAAAGAATTCTTTTTTGCACATGCAATTAAAGATAATAAAATATTTTTTATTAAGCTGGAAAATATTATTTTAATGCCAACTCAACAAAATCTTATCCATGGATTATATCCAACAGCTAATAATCTATATCACAATTTTATATTAAAAATTATGATGAGTAATACTATAATTACATATATTTTTTTATACAAAGAAAAGAGTTATAAAGTCAATATATAATTATTTATTTACTGTAATTAATCAATCAATTAATTAATTATCATTAACTTCTAATGGTTTCTATCTTGTTGACACACCGATTATGTGAAAAATAGTGTAGATATATAACCAAAATTAGGATAAAAATTAGAATGATATATCTCTTATAATTAACAGAATATCATCATGTAAACAAATCATCTTGGATCCCCTAGAACGGTGAATCCATGAATGCATTCAAGAAATAAACAAAGTGTGAAATAGTAACCCCAAGATGACTGAGTGAGTTAACATATGTTTCATGAAGTGCTATCAAAAACGATACTCATTTTGGTTTCATGCCTTTTTTGTTCCCAAATAGGTGGAATCAAAACCTATTTATCCTAAGAAATGTTCCGATCCCAGGTACCCGGAAAAAACTATATGGGTCTCTAATAGTTTAAAAAATAACAAATAAAACCTAAAAAATTACAATACACTTCATCTGCTTACAAAAAATTATAAGTGCACTTGCAGTAAAAATAACAAATGTTCAACTTCCATATTTGTTCCTAAAATTAAAAATTACATAACATTTTAAATATAAATAAACATAACATATCTCATGCTTCATGATATAAAGAATTCCGTGGATATCCTCGACAACTTGAAACGCTCTAAACTCTACAAAATAAATACACAAAAAAGTAAATAGTAATTTAGTTTATAAAAAACATTGAATAAAATTTTGATAAAAAATTAATTAAATAAGAATATAAGAATTATAAATATAAAGTCATGCTTCTAAAAGTTGACAGGCAGCTTTATTCCCAAATTCTGGGGAGTAGTTTGGCTGTGTTTGTTTTAATATTTCTATTTATTTTATTCTATCATATCCAAAATTATATTGTTTCTCTATTTGAAATTCAATTCAATTATACTCAATTTTTAAACCCCCTAAGTTAAATTAACTTACAACACCCCTCCCAAAAAAAAATTATAATTTGACAAAAACACCCCATCTACCTACATATTCCTGGTAGCCGGTGGCTGGTATTTAATAGGTGGGTGGAGGTGTTTTGTTAATTTTAAAACTTTATTGTATGAGGTGTTTAACTAAATTAATAAATATAGGAGATTAAAAATAATCTTACCAAATACATTTTCAAATTCAAATTTTATCCTCATATTAATAATTCAACTCAAATTTTCAAAAAACGCTACTCAAAATAATAAAACAAAACACACCAGCAGCTCATTTGATTTTTAATTAATCTCCTCTTCTGAAAACTAGAGAGAATTTAGTTGACTATTTATGCACAACACAAGAAGCTTTCTCCCACACTTTTGATCTCCTAATTTAGCTACTTAAAATAATTAACCAAAAATTGTGTGACGCACTGCAGGCAAAATCTGAGAATGCCAATTCTTGCGATGAAGTTTCAATAGAAATGAGAGCTTAATTAAAGAATAACAACAATAAGCTAAGCTTCCTCACACATTTGTACGGTCCAATTTTCACTCCTAATAATAATCCCAGTAAGATGTTTCAATTCTAATAACAATTACCCAATTAAAGTACTGCCTGTTGCCATTAACCGTTTGTGACTTTAGTCAGTGCAATCATCCTTGCATTTCATACATGGTAGATGATTGAAAGATTAATTAATATTTACAAGTATTTAAACAATATGTGTGTGACCAGTATAACATGTTAATGCCTGTGTATACCGTTAGAATGAGCTATTGAGTGCTCACCAGATTAAGTTTGTTCATGTAATCAAACATGCTTACTGCTTCTTCAATCTATTCGATTTAAAAAGCCCATCGAGAAGTACATTATATGTTTTTACATCCAAACTGCCCTTCAATTTCCATCTTAGTATGCAATGGAATAGCTTTATCAATCTGCTCGGTGGAGCAACAACAGCAAGAATCAAGCAATAATTTTTTTCTCAAATATACATTCAACAATTCTCTACTTCCTCCCATCTTCCTTACATTAAATATTTACCGTCAACACAAATTTACAGTCACAAGTTTCTTCAAACACAAAAAACTCAAATCATCAACCAATTCAAACCACAATACAAACCATCTAAAACAATAAATAACTAGTTTAGACCTTGCAAAAGGGTGGAATGTTATGACAAGATTTTGATGGCACTCGCATGGATCCATCACAAATTAATTCATTTCACTGCATAAATTAGAATGATTCTCAAACAAAAGCAAGAAGTTAGCTAAACGACGTCTCACACGAGCAAAACTCACAATGTTAGTGTCGATTCTAGATAGGAATCGAAATCAGGACCTTCTTCTGCCCATGGTTGACTTCTTGAACTCGGCTTTGACTTCCCCTTGCCTTGCCCACTAGAGCAGTTCCTTCAGCGGAAGAACTAATCCGTCCTCCCGTTGATTGATAAGGGGTTAGAGAATCTAATCACTTCCTAGAAATGCCATCTCCTCCTTCTGTTCAATCCCTCTCTCGATCCTTTGCTTCGTTGGTTTGCTTGCTTGCTGAACTACCAGTGAAGGTCAGGGAGTTGACTTCTCGACCTTTAGAAGAGGCGGTTCAGTAACAAGTTCTCATCCAAGTCAACGGTACAGTCATCACCACTCCATTTCGAATAGAACGATTTCTCGTG